CTGCTTCCGATCGCCTAGGCGATCACAGCGGAAGTGGGAACGGGTACCTGTCAATTTCGGGTACCCGCTCCCCAAAGGTGCCAATCCTTAATGGGGAGCGGGGGACCAATCTTTAAAGCGGAACTTCCCCTTTTGGGTGGAACTCCGCTTTAATTTGTGTTTAGTTTTAAAGGAATGAGGTGGAACCCCTAGCTGCACAGCTGCCAACATGACTCCCTGCACTGTAGGGTTGTACAGTCTTGGAACGAGTTGAAAACAGTTCCACTCCCTCTTTTATCCTTTTTATCGATCCACGGTCACATTGTTGTTACTATAGCAGTGAAGCTGACCACACACTATACAATCTCCTTTAGATCTACTGTCAGCTATCCAGTGCAAGGTCTTGCCTGATTGGATACGAATATAATGGATTGTTTAGGTCAGGGCTCGACAAATCCCAGGCACCAGGTCTCCATGGCGACTAGAAATTGCAAACTGGCGCCTGAGCTACACTGCAGCAGGGGTCTTCTCTAGCTTCTTGTCTGGATTTAGTTTCCCCATTTGGCCCCCCTGCAGGTGCTCAGCCAAAATTGGGCTGTCCTGTAATTGAGGCTGCAGCTTTGCGGCCTGCTGGAGCAGGATACAGCACTTGCTATTTTGTTTGTGGACATTGACATTTGCCCAGGAATCAGCTCCCTCCTTTGGTGGGCACGGCTGTGATGAGCAGTCATTGATGGCTCGGCGGCGCCCACCATTTTCAGGCTAGGTTTACATATGTGCAGGTGGTGCGGCTGCGGATCTGCACGAAAAACCATGCAGCCGCACCACCCACACAGAGGAATGCGGACCTGCACGGCCACATGTGAACCAGGGGTCACTGAGGCCTTTCTTGCCTGCTGTCACTGCCCGTCCACCTCCGATATCTCCTTTCCACTTTGACAGCTGGGCACTGAAGTTGCGGGCTTGATCTGCCACCCTTTCCTTGCTGGTGAGTGGACGGGGAGTGTGGGCAGCCTGCTACAGCGCTGAACCCACTTCAGTTCCATACCTGTACACAGGGGCCCCATCCCACCATACCTGATCTACCCCCATAGATAGGGACCCCCATCATCAAACCATGCTGGCCAGGATCCAGTACCCACACTCCATCAACCTCAGCCTGCACCAGAGTGACAACACCCCATTTACCTGTACACAGGGGCGTCCATACCCCCAAACACCCCACCTACCTACACACAGGGGACTCCAACCGCATATCCCCTGTAGAACACTACATCCCACTCCCTGTCCCGCTGCCCCCCACCTGTCAAAGTAAATTTGTCAAGCCCTGGTTTAGGTTTGTCTTCATGTCACACTTTTGGTAAGCATGCTGGATATTGTACATTCAAAGTGTAGAGTGTATGGACAGCTTAATGCTGATTTTCACCCATTTTTTTAAACGTTCTCTGATTATAATGCCCATCCAAAGTACAGTTGTAAATAGAGATTGTCGATTATTTTTTAAAATTATTATTTATAAATACCTTATTTTTAGGGATGCATCGAAATTTCGTCCACCAAAACATATTGGCCAAAAATATCCCTATCGAACTTTGCTGATAGGAAAAATGTAGCCGATAGAGGAGACTGTGAGGGGGGAGACAGTTGAGAAAGGCAGGAGAGGAGCAATGTATACAGCAACTGGCTGTCACTGTATGTCAGTGCCGGTTATTAAGGCACCATGCACACGGGACGTTTTAATACCGCTGTTAGCATTAACTGTGTAAAGTCATATTAAAATGTGAGGTTTTCAGCGTTTTTGTATTAGCGTTTTTTAGCTGCGTTTTTAGAGGTTTTTTTGCCAAACCCAAAAAATTTTTTTTAGCCCAAAAATGCTGGTTTGCTGTGATTTACCATGGCTTACCCGCATTTTACTGCGTTTTCCAGCATAGAGCATTTTTACAGCTCCTCTAGAAACCCACCTTTTCTCAGCAGCAGTTAGAGCAGTCTGTGACTTCTATCAGTTTCCAGCCCACCACTAGCTAAAGCTTGTAGGAGGCGTTTTCTTTTTGCTCTAAGACAGGGGTGGGCAACTGTGGCCCTCCAGCTGTTGTAGAACTACAATTCCCATGAGGCATTGCAAAACTGACAGTTACAAGCATGACTCCCAAAGGCAGAGGCATGATGGGACTTGTAGTTCACCAGCAGCTGGAGGGCCACAGTTGCCCACCCCTGCTCTAGGAGGATGGAAATTCCCTGACCTCTGTCTGGACAGTGCTGATTGGCCCTGTGCTAATCACATGCACTCTCCCAAGAAAAAAAACCCTCTCTAGCAATACACACCAAATTGAGCATGTGCATACCTATGGTTCATTCTGGAGATAAGAGGTGTCACTTGAAAAAGGGGAGGAACAGAGAAGAAAGGATCAAACATCTTTTTTACATAATGCAGAGGATAACCCCTTAGGTACCACAGTGAGTATAACAAGCATGCTTTACTGCATATACAGACTGATTTTATTGTTGTGGGTTTAGTAACACTTTAAGTGAGATCCTGCCAATGTGGCAAAGTCAGGTCACAGCGTTTCTCATCCTAATATTAAGGGCCCATTCACATTGCAATAATGCACATTATGTGTGGTGGTGCCTTACACCCTGAGTGCCCCCCCCCCCCCAACAAATCATAAAAATCCATGTGCACTGCAAAAAATGCCACCTATGCAGTTTCTCTGTAATTTGAGACATTATCTTTGCACACTGATGGACTCACCAGCAATCTTTGTCCGATTTAATCCATCAAAATCAATCAAAGTCCAGTCAAAGACATGTAGATAGTGCCAGTTATATGTCCAGTAAATTCTTATGTCTAGCATAAACAATGTAATAACGTCTCTCTTTCACTGTTAGGTCACTACCAGAACATTCAGGGTTCAACAGATTAAATGAGTGAAAACTCCTCTCCCATCTGGGACCATATATAAAGGAGATGAAAGGCACCTGAGAGTACAAACCATCTTCTTTCATCAAAACCATGCACTTACATGAGTGTGTGTCTCTACCCAACACTGAGGATAACTCGTTTGTTTCTCTGTGACAATGTCGGCTCCAGCAGCAAACATGAGCTGTGAGCAGATAGCCTTGACGGGATGATGTCACTCCAATGTGGCCCTTCTCGTTTTGATGTGATATCATCAGGGATGGTACCATCATACTGTCCCTGATGAAAACATCACATCAAAACAAAAGAATTGCACAGTCACAGATTTTCATTCTTTTTGCACTAAGCAGAGTTGTATTATTGATTATGCACCAGTCAGTTGTTTATAAGCTGAATAGTTCATATATAGCAGTAGGTTATATAAACATTATCAAAGGTTTACTTTACAGAGTATCTCCATTTTTGTTGAGAAAAAAAAATCTATGTCGGGGTATTGAATTAAAATTCAAGGAGGTCCAGTCACTAAAATTTTCTTCTGGCCGAGGTCCAAATAGGGTGTGCCCATCAGTGTTTCCCCTTACATTAGGTGTCGCCATCAGACTGCAACTTTACATCATGTATTCCCATCATAAGGTGTGTCCATCAGAGTGCTCTTTTACATCAGTTGTCCCCATCAGAATGCCCCTTTACATCAGGTATTCCCATCACAGTGCCACCTTACATCAGGTATTCCTGTCAGAGTGCCCCCTTACACTCAAAAGTACCCCTTTCCATCATATTTCCCCATCAGAGTGCTCCTTTACATCATATTCCCCATTGGAGTGCCCCTTTCCATCACATGTGCCCCTTTCCACAGTTTGTGCCCCCTTAACATAACACTTGCCCGTCAGAGTGCCCCCTTAACATAAAATGTAAGTGGACCTTAACATAAAATAAGGGGTATGCTGATGGGCACATTTTGTTAAGGGGCACTCTGGGCACAGTTATATTAAGGGGCACTCTGATGGGCACATTCTATGTTGTGCTCATCAGCATGACCCTTTAACATTAAATGTGCCCATCAGAGTGCCCCTGTAAGACTACACCCTACTTTAAGGGCAGACAGGAGCTGTGCTGGGATCCTTGCTGAAGGATGCTTGTGTACAGGCAGGGAGAGGGAGCCGGAGAGACAGCTGCAAGGGGCGGGGCGCACGCTGGATGTTATCAGTTGCCATGATGACCGCCATGCTCAGTGGCGGATCTGTCATTGCGGGCTGGCGGTCCAGAAGGGAGCGCTGCTGGGGACACTCTAGGACTGCAGTCCGCCATTCAGTGATCTATGTACATGATAGGGATTTTAACAGGCTTTGCTGCAGATTTCCCTTTTGTTATTCTGAAGAGAAAGCTCTTTGTTTCTCTGTGTCCATATGGAAAGTGAATCTAATGGGAGTGATTTTAAAATGATCAACCAGCCACTGCACTTGCAGGGTTCTATGGAGGAAAGTGGTAGGGTCTGAATCCCTTTTTAGATGTGATTTTCCTTTGGGAGTGGCTCACCAAAAATGACATTTTCATTGCAGGGGATGCTCAAAATCTGACTTGTATCTTAGTGCAGACTTCTGGGAAAATCAGGCGTTTTGTACACCGTATGTGTACAGAACACCTCCAAGTAGACATATTGCAGTGCATTTTACCAAAAATTACAGCGCTGCAGATTGAATAGGAAAAGTAATTTTTAATATTCAATTACAATATGATTTGTGTAGCAATTGTATACATTATTATTTTTTTTTTATTTGATATTTTTCCTCATGAAAGTGGAGTTACCCTTTAAGTGGCTGCTATCATAGAATATAGACACATTTATTTCCTCAACTGTATTTGTTTTCTACTTTTTAGGGCAAAACATGTCAAAAAGAGAAAATGATGTAACTGGGAGTGACGAAGAGGAGGAGGATGGGACAGGTGACGAAGAGGAGGAGGATGGGACAGGTGACGAAGAGGAGGAGGATGGACAGGTGACGAAGGGAGGAGGGAGGATGGGACAGATGAAGAAGAGCTGGATGCTGAGAATGGAGGGATGAAGACTACAGAGAGTAAGAATGGACAGGGAAAAGAGGATGCATCAGAACACCATACAGAGATGCTGGGTGAAGATGAAAAATCTCGCTGGTACTAAAAAGAAGTCGGTTATTCCCGGCATCATATACCTGGGTCACATTCCACCTCGTCTCCGGCCTCGCCACATCCGAAACATGCTGAGTGTCCATGGAGAAGTGGGGCGTATTTTTCTGCAAGTAGAGGGTAAGAATACGTTGTGCAATTGTTACAATGCATGGGACTTTCTGGAATCTAAAATAGGACAGTGCTTATTCCAGAGAAACCGCACTTGGTCAACCTCTGTTTCTTCAGCAGAAATGGAACTCCGGGGCATGCCTGGATCTGCTGCATACTTTTTGGTCCATTTATAAAGTTGCTTAATAAAAATAAACAAATTGCACATTAAAAGCAATGTGTATTCAAATGTGCTTAGTGGCTTGGGGCACCTTAAAATCAATGGAGTTAAAAAAAAAAAAAAAAAAAAAAAAAAATTCCAGAAGGATAACATGATCATGTTGCCTTCCAAATTCAAATGGCTGGTCTTTCATCCAGCCCTGACCTGTGTTTTTTGCATACTCTAAAATGCTGGCCACTGCGTCCAGCAGACAGCAATATTCTTTCTCCATTATGAATGGCGCCCTTCGTGGAATTAATTTGGTTTGAGGGCTTCTGTGCTCTTCATTTGGTTCAGGTGTATTTGGTATGTTTACAGACTGTCAACTACATAATCATTTCCCATTTCTCTAAATTGCTGGACAATAGGTGATGCCTAAAGCACAGTGTTTGTTCAGTTCTTTAGCACCAGAGTTGGTACAACAATAAAATATTGCATTTTCAGTGAGCACATTTATTGATCCATTATTACATTGCTTGCCTTAGCATCAATTTTTCAAGCTTGCTGTTCCTTATCTTTGTATTTTGCTAAATATAGAGATTCGTCGATTTGCCACCAAAGTGAGTTTCCAGTGCAGTCACTCTTCTTGTCCGTTTAGATAAGATATCAACCCAAGAAGTGCTTTGTTTTCAATAAATCAAACAAGTGCAGAGCCTACGTTTTAAAATGAGCAAATACACCAATCAGCTATAACTTTGACCCACCTACCTAATGTTGCATAGGTCCCCTTTTTGCTGCCAAAACAGTCCGGACCGGTTGAGGCATGGACGGCACTAGACCTCTGAAGGTATGTGGTGATATCTGGCAACAAGCTGTCAGTAGCAGGTCCTGTAAGTTGCAAGATGGGACCTCCACAGATGCTCGATTTGATTGAGGTCAGCACGTCAAACTCTTTTGTGTTCCTCAAACCATTTTTGTATAGTTTTTGCAGTGTGGCAGAGTGCATTATCCTGCTGAAAGAAGCCACTGCCATCAGGGATTACCATTTCCATGAAGCAGTGTACTTGGTCCACAGCAATGTTTAGGTGGGTGGTAGGTGTCAAGTAACATCCACATGAATGGCAGGACCAAAAGTTTCCCAGCAGAATGATGCCCAAAGCATTACATTGCCTCCGCTGGCTTGACTTCTTCTCATACTGCATTTTGGTCCCATCTCTTCCCCAGGTTGGTGATGCGCACACACACCTGACCATCCACATGATGTGAAAGAAAACCTGATTCACCAGACCAGGCCCCCTTCTTTCATTGCTCTGTGCTCCAGTTTTAAAGCTTACATGCCCATTGTAGGTGCTCTTCGCTATGAGCACCTTGATTAGTCTGCGGCTACACTACCCCGTAAACAACAAACTGTGATGCCCATTTTTTTTCTGCTTTCAACACATCAGCTTCAGGGCAACATGTTCATTTACTCCCTTATCTATCACATTGACTTTCAGATACCATTGTAGTGAGATAATCAGTGTTATTCATTTATAATTAAAGGCAATGTTTGCACTCTGTGACCCCCCCCCCCCCCCCATTAGGGAGATTTGCCCTTTCTATTTTCATGTTTACTGCTGTCATTGAAAGTGAAAGTAAAGATTTTGGGTTGTCCCCAGAACTGTAATGGATAGGAAATCTTCCAGTGGACACACTGGTTCTGGTGACAACTAGGGATTCCTTCACTTTGGAGGGATTTCCTCTCACTTCCTGATTTGGCTATGGGACAGGAAGTGAAGGAAATCTCCCCAATGAGACAGAAATAGCAAACAAAATGAGGGAAAAAAGTTTTACCTTTTTAGTTCTACTTTAACCCCTACATGATGAAAGGTAAAACGAACCTTAACTCCCAGACTCAGTTTTGCAACTTTGACATGTGTTAGTAAAACTGTACATATGATTGCAACTACTTTGTGCATCCAGGTGAATTATACCTTATTTTTTTCAGGACAAATTGGGCTTTCATTTGGTGGTAAATAGTAATGGATATCTCCTATTTTTTTGTTTTTAATATGAAGGGAAAATTGGCCCAAAATAGTAAAATAAAAATCCTTTTTTTTTTTGTTAATTTAGCTGTATATTTCTTACTATTACCATAACATACCACCGAGAAACTACTGAAAATAAATTCTCCTGCTCCTGATGATCACATTGATACCACATATGTCTATGTTGTTTGTACCCACAGTAGGGCCCAGAAACCAGAAGCAGCTCTTTAATTAGGCAAATTAGGTGGTCGCCTAAGGTCTCACGCTCACAGGGGCCTTGCGGCTGCCTAATTTGCCTAACTAATAGCAAGATTTGTTTCTGGGCTGGCCTGAAGAGCGGCCACAAAGTGAACTGATGGCCGCTGCACTGCCGCATAAGCCAGTGATAGGGCTTAATAGTCCCGGCTGCACTGCAGCCTGAAAAGAGTTGAAGGGAAGGCGGAGTGATATCAACTACACTCCACCTCTCCCTGCAGACTCTATGCTCCTTGGTGGCAGTCGCACTCAGAGCCCTGTGAAAGAATAGCGACGCCACATATAGCCTGACTGCTCAGTGATCACTGTGCTGCACTTCTGTGGAAACAATGAGTGAAGAGAAGTTGTATAGCCACCTTGGTAAATTGATTGACATATGGATTGGCAATGTTGCAGGACACAGGGCTTTGTCTATTAATGCTGCTTGGATGTGGGTCTCTCTGTGTCTCTTAGGTGGTTTGGGCTGTCTCTTAGCTGGGATTGCCTCTTAGCTGGATTGGACTGTGGATTGGGCTGTCCCTTAGCTGAATTGGGTTGTCTGTTAGCTGGATATATGTGGATGTCTCTTTGCTGGATATATGGAGGATGTTGGTTTGCTAAATATATGGGCTTGTCACTTAGCTGGATTGGGCTGTCACTTAGCTGGATTGGGCTGTCTGTTAGCTGAATATATGGGGATGTCTCTTTGGATCTATGGGGAATGCTTCTTTGCTTAATAAATGGGGCAATGTATACAGATAATTTTTAGCTGTATTGGGCTGTCTGTTAGCTGGATATATGGGGATGTCTCTTTGCTGGATACATGGGGTATGTTGCTTTGCTAAATATATGGGGCTTGTCTCTTAACTGGATTGGACTGTCTCTTAGTTGGATCGGGCTGTCTGTTAGCTGGATATATGAGGATGTCTCCTTGCTAAATATATGGGAGATGTCTCCTTGCTGGATATATGGGGCAATTTATACAGCTAATTTTTATCGCTTGAAATATTTTTCTCATTATGGGGCCTCAAGTCTAAGTTTTGCCTAAGGCCTCACAAAGCCTAGAGCCGCTTCTGCCAGAAACAATGGTGCGCATTTTGCTTACATAAAACACACTGACACTAATTTTAAAAATGCAGTTTTTTAAAAAAAAAAAAAAAAAAACTCCTATCTAAAATATGCTAACCCTGACCTTTTGATCCTTGTTTACGTCTTTTTCTCCTGCAAGAAAAGTAAGATACAGCGTATCCTTCTCTCCATTCAGGAAAGAAAGAAATAAAAGAGAAAACACATGGGCATATTGCACAGTGCCTATCAGAGGCTATCACAGCAATCAGTTAACTGGGAGCCCTGGGTCCCGATCGTTAGTAGGAAACCCAGGGCTCTTGGTGAGAGCCTTGTTTCTGTGCTGGGAGCGAGCTGTGCAATGTTTAAAGCCCACCTCCTGGTGTCGTTATGGGGTTAACCTGTCAGTCATAAAGTTATGGCTGTTTGATGTGTGTCCCGTATGTACGTATATCATTACAAATGCTACATGGAAATGGTTGTTAAAAGAGAAGTTTGAGGGGGTTCCCAAATTATACTTGCCTAGGTGGAACATATGAACCTTACCTCGGTTCAATGCTGCATTTGTCCCCAACATGCTTTGCGTGTGAGAAGTCACAAGTACGATCACATGTCCGCTAAGTGCCTTGAGTTCTCACCTTTGCTGTGAGCAGAGATTGGCTTGCTGAGAGGCTGAGCCAGGTGTCGCTCCAGACTCTGGGGTGGATCCCAACTTGCCCATCAGAGGATTTACCCCCTTCCTGACCCGGCCATTTTTTGCGTTACTTTAAATGACAATTGCGCGGTCATGCAACACTGCACCCAAATGAAATTTATGTTCTTTTGTCCGACAAATAGAGCTTTCTTTCAGTGGTATTTCATCGCTTGTGCAGTTTTTTTTTTTTCTCTTCATTTTTTGCGCTATTAAAAAAAGACCGACAATTTTGAGAAAAAAACAATATTTTTGACTTTTTGCTATTAAACATATCCAGTAAAAAAATAAAAAAATCGAATTTCAGCATAAATCTAGGCCAAAATGTATTCTACTACATGTCTTTGCTAAAAAAAATATCCCAATACGTGTAAATTAATTGGTTTATGTGAAAGTTACAGCGTTTACAAATGTCGGTATATAAACTGGGATTTGTGTTTTTTTGTTTTTTTCATTTTTACTAGTAATGGCGGCGATCAGCGTCTTATAGCGGGACTGTGGTGGGCATTCTGACACTGGGGGGAACTGACTTGGTGTCACTGACATCCCCAGTGACACCAATACAGTGATCAGTGCTAATAAAAAGCATTGACACTGTACTAATGGCACTTGGCAGGAAGGGACTAACTGCGTGCTGTTATACTAAGTGTGCTTTGTGTGTGCTTCACTGTAAGCACACTGCTTTGCATGGCTGTGCTATGCATAGCAGTGTGCAGGGGCTGGGGGACAGGGGAGAGAACTGTTTCGTTTACAATCAGTTCAACTCCCCCCACGTCGGAGATGCTCGGCAATCACCTGGCGCTGGCAAGTAATTACTGGCCGGGACCTGGTGATTGACAGCCGAGGCCGCGAATGGCGGCGCGGGTAAGGCTTGTGCACTCCCCCTACCCGGAAATGCAGGTGTGTGTGTGTATATATATATATGCGTGATTTTGCACACTGCTGCCACCCTGTAGCAGTATTTCTGCTATAGGGTGGCGGTAAAGTGGTTAAAGTCAGGATCTGTCCCCAGCCTGGACCAGGCTTCAGCCTGCTGTCAGCTGAAAACAGGTCACAGGAATGCAGAACGAACTGCAAAGAGCTTCTGCTGTACTTCTCCTTTAAAATGTTAACATATATTGAAAAGGTTATTTTCATGAATCTAACCTCCTTGATCTATTTAGTATTTAAAAAAAAAATACGTTTAACTCTACAGCAAATCACACTGTGTTCACAATACAACATCCACCAAAAACTGAAATATCAATGGGTAGATACATTGCTGACACCTGCTTCTAGAACAAACATGCATTTATACATAAATAAAACCGAAAAGATACGAGCGCTGGATATACAACTCAAGAGCGGCTAGCATGAAAGGCAAACACCAGGAGCCTCAAAATAAAATATATCGAACAGCCATGCAGCGCTAACTAAGTATATTGATACATGCAAATGATCATACGGTGCACGTGATAACCGGTAAAGTGAACACCACTTAATACTAAGATAGATGGAAATTAGCTAAAAAAGTCCAGTCCAGGAATAATAATAATGGTGAATAGAATCTGCAACAAGAGTGTTCTTGCGGTGCATAATATATAGAATTTCAGGACAAAAAGGTGACATCATAAGTGACTTCTGTGACCATATTGCTCCCGCAGAAATGAGTGTAGATTGCACTAACCAGAAAGCGCAATGATAATGCGCATTTGAGTGTTTAACCAACTCCTGGTCATCCGGCTATTGAAAACTGGAACTGGATCACAGAGTAGTCATCTGGCGTGCATCAGCTGGGCAAACATCACAACCTCAGGACATCACAACCTCAGGAACACCAGATATCAGAAGGTATGTAGTCGTCTCGCCACCGGGGGGAGTCTAACCAACCATGGTGTGGCCACCAGATCATCCCAATAAGCACTTAGAGAAGGGGGGGGGGGATGCTCGGAAATAGCGAGCCAAGACAACAGAAGGTGCTGATAGTGTAGTACTTTATTATCCACAACAATAAAAAATAGACAAGTAGCTGAAAATATCCTACTCACCGGTTGATAACGTGCCATCAGCACGAAACTATGCGTTAGCGAGGTGCCTTATACCCTGCCTTACACCTGTGCACGTCACACCGCATGGCCCCTGGGACCAAAGGCCGGCGGCCTCCATTTGGCAGTGGAATTCCCTGTTACCAGTTGCTCACTACCACACGTGAGTAGTAAAACCTTTTTTTAATTTCAGCTACTTGTCTATTTTTATTTGTTGTGGATAATAAAGTACTACACTATCAGCACCTTCTGTTGTCTTGGCTCGCTATTTCCGAGCCCCCCCCCTTCTCTAAGGCTTATATTGGGATGATCTGGTGGCCACACCATGGTGCTCCGGTTTCCGAATGTTAGACTCCCCCCCACCTGCTATCTGGAGGAATATTCCATTTATTACCCAAGGCTCTTTGGTCCCTAGGGGCCTGGGCAGGAAGGTGAGGGGGCACCCCAGCTATAGAGGATTGGCACACTTCACACCTGCATGAAGTTTGTGTGTGATACACAAGGACACTATTCACACATTTATTCTGCACTGGTGGCGAGACGACTACATACCTTCTGATATCTGGTGTTCCTGAGGTTGTGATTATCATTGTTTGCCCAGCTGATGCACGCCAGATGACCAGATACTACTCTGTGATCCAGTTCCAGTTTTCAATAGCCGGATGACCAGGAGTTGGTTAAACACTCAAATGCGCATTATCATTGCGCTTTCTGGTTAGTGCAATCTACACTCATTTCTGCGGGAGCAATATGGTCACAGAAGTCACTTATGATGTCACCTTTTTGTCCTGAAATTCTATATATTATGCACCGCAAGAAACACTCTTGTTGCAGATTTTATTCACCATTATTATTATTCCTGGACTGGACTTTTTTAGCTAATTTCCATCTATCTTAGTATTAAGTGGTGTTCACTTTACCGGTTATCACGTGCACCGTATGATCATTTGCATGTATCAATATACTTAGCGCTGCATGGCTGTTCGATGCATTTATACATGAACGTGTCAATGTGTATATTTCAGCAGCTTTAATATTGGGATGAACTTTAGGTTGACATAATACATTTCCTGGAATGTGTAAGTCATGTAATTTTTTGTGTTTTTTTTTTTTTTACTTTTTTGGCAGATCGTGCAATTCGCAATAAGAAAAAGAAAGCCGGCAGCAATGCCCGCGACTTTATAGAGGGCTGGGTGGAATTCCGGGACAAGCGTGTGGCCAAGCTGGTAGCTACAAGCCTGAATAACTCCCCAATGGGCACACGGAAAAAGAACCGCTTCCATGATGACCTGTGGAATATGAAGGTGAGGTTGGAGTTTCCGCCATTAGGGCAGTCATTTTGTGTTTTTGACCAGTATTTGAAATTCATTTTTTTTTTTTTGAGGTATAAAGTAGCCCTCTTTAACCTTTTCAAGGATTTTAGCACCCTGCATTCTAGGTTCATAACGTTTATTGTTCTAAAGAACTTAATGTTTGCTTTATCAGGTTCCTGCTCAAACTGACTTTAAATAGGAGGGTCATACTTTATTTTCACAATCTCTGATTTATAAGAAATATTGCATTTATTGTGTGTGCCTAAACATTGAGAGCATCTGCCCAAAAATAGAATGCCTTTTAGTTTGTTTATCCGTGCATCTAAACTGCTGCTCTTCTGAAAAGTGATCTTCGTTTAGATCACTTTCCAAAGCCATTCCTCAGGCCTGTTTTAACCCCATAATTGCGCACCATTGTGCAAACCCTTAGGGTAGTCTGTGGTAATCAGTAAAAATGTAGAGCTTATTTTCATTGAATTTATGGTTTTGCTGTAAAAAAAAAAAAAAAAAAATCTAAAAAACAATTAAGATTTAAAAGGGAGCATAGATTAGACCATTTTTAAAATGTAGTAAAAATAAAGTTAATTTTTTGGGCATTGCTCATAACTAGGCCAAATAAAATATATTTGCCTTGACTAGCATATAGTGGGTAAAGGTTAGAATCGGTTAGGATCTTGTCGCCGTTAGGAAGATATTTCCTCACCTCTGTGTCAGTGACTACATAAGTAGGGAAGACAGTGAAATCCCTCAAAAGGGACAAAACCAGCCACCGTTGAATTTTCTATTTATTTTTTTAAATCCCAAAGAAGGTTTATTAAACAGAACAAAGAAACATAGTCCAAGATACCTGTATCAACCGCATACAGTAAAGATATTAATCAGCATAAAGATACAAAATCTTAGAAATCGTACATTATGAAATGAGAAACCGTAGACTTTACAACATCCTCACCCTCCGCTGATAAGTAAATAGGGCAAAAGATAAAAAACATATTCAGAACAGTACTGTGACTACTCAAATACTAAATAAAAATGGATCCATCCTATGGAGAAAGCCCCACCACCAAGGAGCTGAACCATATCCTAACAAACGTGGCATCACCAGCTCCACTGGAGCCTAGCCAGGGACCATCAGCCAGCCATCCCATATTTTATCAAATTTAGCTGGACAACCCCTATGTTTGCACTATGAAAAACTCATATGCCGAGTAGTGTGCATAATGGCAAGCCAGTCCTGCATAGATGGGGCGAAGTGCTCTTCCAGTGCAACAAAATCGCCTGTTGGGCTTGGAACAAAGCTCTAGATACTGCCGCCTTAACAAAAGCATCAGGGATCACTGAATCCAGAATACAAGACTGGGTCCAAGGTTAACTTGAGTTGATAGGCCTGATTAATTATACCTAGGACACCGACCCAGTATCTATGAAGCTTGAGACAGCGCCATAACATGTGCATCAAGTCCCCATGGTCCTTTCAACACCTAGGACAGAGGGGATCGGCCAATAAACCCATCCTGTACAGTTTTTTTAAGAGGGGTGTAGAGCACTCGAAGCAGTATATAAAACTGTGAGAAGCACTGCGACACATTAAAGGAACTGTAGCAGAGCGCCTACAAAACCTCCCATTGCTCCCCAGTCAATTCTCCCACATCCGGCACCCACTGTACTCTAGCCCTACAGGGGTAATTATCCAAATAGGGTCCCAGGAGGTGTTGGTAACAATTCGAAATAAAGCCCTTAGTAGAGGAAGCTTGTTGCATCAGTCGAAACACCAAGGATGGGGGAGAGGCAGAAGTCAGGAGAAAAACGTTGGGCTATTACCACATGGCTATTACCACATGTCTCAACTGCAGTTAATAGAAATGCATCTGCAGTGGGAGACCACATTTAGATTTCAAGACTGCAAAGGATAACAATTTACCATGTTTCACATGGGTAATGTCATACGCTTGCCACTTGGACGCACATTGGAGCTTCGCTAGTTCGGAGTACGTGGGATTTTGCCAAAGAATACTGAAGCTGGTATATCCTGCAACCCCCTAGTGTTGTTTAGTTTTGTGCCAAATCTTATGCATCAACCTATAAGTGGGAAAAGACCTATTTGGTTTAGCAAAGGATTGTGATTCAAGCCCCTCAGGTAAAGAGGGTGCGTTAACAAAACGAAGGGTCGTAGCTAAGGTAGTATCATGGTACAGCTGGGCAGTACCAGTGGAGGGGACATGCCACTCACCATATGTTGCAGTTGTACAGCCATATAATAGAGCCAAGGGTGTGGAAACGCCATCTTGGGGCGCTGGATTTGCTCTAGCTTAATCCTAGAAGGGCCCTGCTTTCATAAAAGGGAGTGAAAAAGGGAGTTAACTGTACGAAAAGTCCTATGAGGGATCACCACTGGAGAGTTGTGTAGAAGGTAGAGTAACTGGGGCATAAGTATCATTTTAACCAAGTTGGCCCAGCCTATTAAAGAGATCCACAATTTCCACCATATCTGTATTTTATCTTGAAAACGTTTAAGCAACGGGTTAATATTGAGCCCCAGGAACTCAGTGACTGTTCTGGAAATCCCTATACCCAAGTATTTAAAACTAGAGACAATAGGTACCGGACACCCTGGAGGAAGGGTGGGCGTTAGTTGCCTATCAGAGTAACTACATCCATGAAATAAAGGTATCTCCAAAACCCTGCAGAGCCTTCCAAAGGTACCGCCACTCAACACTATCAAATTCCTTATTGGCATGCAATGATAATAAGACTCTCGATCCCATGTTGTCAGAGGGAGTGTGCATGTTCAGAAAGAGTCTGCGCAAATTGATGGTGGTAGATTTGTGAGGCATGAAGCCTGCCTGTTTAGAATGTATGACGCTGGCAATAACTTTGTTCAGTCGTCTGGCTAATATTTTAGCAAGAATTTTCATATCTGTCTTCAATAAAGAGATTGGCCTGTAAGAATTGGGATCAGTGGGGGATTTACCCAGCTTTAGTAGCAAAACCATAGTGGCTTGAGCCGTAGAGTCAGGCAATCTCCAAGACGGAACACCTCATTGTAAATTGTAAGCAAGTGGGGCAACACAGAGTCCGCATATTGTGAGTACACTTCCATAGCAAGTCCTTCTGTCCCAGGAGCTTTTGAGGTAGGGAAAGAAACCACCACCAACTGAATTTCCTCAGTAAGAGGTGAGTCTAGCAGTGCCCCTTTGGGTATTACAGTTGTGGCAGACACACTGTTCTCAGATAGGTCCGCAGGTCATCGGGGTACAAGAAAACTTAGATTGGTATAAGATAGAGTAAAATGACGCCAGCTCCGCCATCACCCCATCAGAAGTATTTAATAGAGTACCAGTTTGGAAGTGTAGGGCAGTGATGGCTGGGGTGGTAGATTGTGCCCTAACAAGTTTAGCTAGAAGGCGACCAGTTTTCTCCCTCCTCCTCACAGAACGTCTGTTTGGCAAAAAAAGTGTTTTTTTCTCTCCGCCACCAAGCGTGTCACACTCAGGCTTGTGCAGAGATCCAAGCTGCCCTAGAGGCATCTGAAGCTTCTGAGAGATAGTCCAGTTCCTTTCTCCCCACCAGCTTCGCCAACTGTTTTTCCTGGCATTTACTGAGCCAGCATTTAAAAACATCCCATGTTAGTAAGGGGTCAGGGTAGTAGACATTATCAACGAAAAATCGAGTAATACGGGCTGCGATTTTAGTGTGGGAAGGAATTAAGAACCACCAAAATGCATTCATGTTCCAGGGTGATCTACTACGGGAGGTAGTAGGTTTAACATTTAGTACCACCACTAGGGAGAAATTGTCTGAGATTCCCCTAGGCACATACAGTGGATATAACAAGTCTACACACCCCTGTTTGAAATGTCAGGTTTCTGTGATGTAAAAAAAATTAGACAAAGAAAATTCATTTCAGAACTTTTTCCACCTTTTTTTAATGTAACCTATAAACTGCACAACTCAGTTGAACAACAAACTGAAATCTTTTAGGTGGAGGGAAGTAAAAATAAAAAACTAAAATAAACTGGTTGCATAAGTGTGCACACCCTTAACCTAACATTTTGTTGAAGCACCTTTTGATTTTATTAGAGTACTCAGTCTTTTTGGGTATGAGTCTATTACAGTACTCAGTCTTTTTGGGTATGAGTCTATCCGAATGGCACATCTTGACTTGGCAATATTTGCCCACTCCTCCTTGCAAAAACACTCCAAATCTGTCAGATTGCGAGGGTATCTCCTGTTCACAGCCCTCTTCAGATCACCCCACAGATTTTCGATCGAATTCAGGTCTGTGCTCTGGCTGGGCCATTCCAAAACTTTAATCTTCTGGTGAAACCATTCCTTTGTTGATTTGGATGTATGCTTTGGGTCGTTTTCATGCTGAAAGATGAAGTTCCTCTTCATGTCAGCTTTCTAGCAGAGAGCCTGAAGGTTTTGTGCCAATATTGACTGGTATTTGGAACTGTTCATAATTCCCTCTACCTTGATTAAGGCCCCAGTTCCAGCTGGAGAAAAACATCCCCAAAGCATGATGGTGCCACCACCATGCTTCACTGTGGGTATGGTGTTCTTTTGGTGATGTGCAGTGTCGTTTTTGCACCAAACATATCTTTTGGAATTATGGGCAAAAAGTTCAACCTTGGTTTCATCAGACCATAACACATTTTTCCATATGCTTTTGGGAGACTTCAGATGTGTTTTTGCAAAATTTAGCCAGGCTTTCTTAGTAAGAAGAGGCTTCCGTCTTGCCACTCAGCCCAGACATATGAAGAATACGGGAGATTGTTATCACATGTACCACAAAGCCAGTACTTGCCAGATATTCCTGAAATTCCTTTAATGTTACTGTAGGCCTCTTGGCAGCCTCCCAGACCAGTTTTCTTTTCGTCTTTTCTTCAATTTTGGAGGGACGTCCAGTTCATGGTAATGTCCCTATTGCGCCATATTTCTCCACTTGATGACTGTCTTCAGTTCACTGTGTTCCATGGTATATCTAATGC